TATGTGCCTAACCCACCCTGTCAACTTTCCCTGTGGGAGGAAACACGGAGTGCCCGGAGAAAACCCACGACTTTCGGCAGAGCGTTGACTTTTTACTCTTTTCACATGAGGACTGGGTTCGAGTGACATTGAGAAGCTCTCACTGAGATTCGAACCTGCGACCTTAGAGGTGAAAGGCAAGTGCGCTAGCCACTTGGCCACCGAAGCCCCCAATAAACCATCATAGCTAATTTAGTTCCATGGTAAATCGAATTTGTATTGAATTACATGGTAGATTTTGTCCTCGATCCCAGATAGTTTCCAGATGTCCATACCCCGGAAATATTATATCCTATATACAGCATCAGTAACAAATTAAGCAGTGCAGAACTGAAATGTTCGTTTTGTGGACCCGAGACTGTCAATGTTACCCGAGGCGTATTTCACAAAATATAAAACAACGGTAACTCCGAAAATAAACATTTTAATATTCTAGCTATCGACTAAGATTCAGTCATCATCAGGAATCTGATTCCTGATGATGACTGAATCTTAGTCGAAAGCTAAAATATTAAAATGTTTATTTTCGGAGTTACCGTTGTTTTATATTTTATTAAAATATTCAGTGGTTCCCGTAATTTTTGGCGTATTTCACTATATACCAAATATCAAATAAAACAACCAAAAAGTCCATAATTTTAGCTGTATTACTCGTCTTGACTTTGAGTGGCGGACATTACTTTTATTCACCTGCCTGATAGTAATATCAGGCAGGTGAATAAAAGTAATGTCCGCCACTCAGAGTCAAATTTCATGAGTTTCACGTCATACGCTATATAATAGAGACATTACGATTTTAGAACAGCAACGCGACGGCAACGGCTACCAATACATTACAATAGATCATTGAAAAAAATTGAGTAATTACAATATATGAAAATTTAGACATTGTCCTCGCTCTGTTTACAACGTCAAATCACAGATTTTCACGTCTTGATACAACGGCTGCATTTCAAGCCACTGACAAGTGCAACTTTGAACTGGGTTTACAAGAACTCTTCCCAACCATAAAACCCATGTCTTCAACTTCTAAAAATGTATTAAATTCATACGATTGATAATATGCGACGAACTATCTTTACTACCATTTATTTGAAGGAGTTTGTTTTGACCGTTGCCGTCCTAAAATCGTAAGGTCTCTAATAACTTCCCGACGAATGGTCTTGGCTTGAAACGTTAAATTAAATGTTTTTTTGTATTTATATAATGAATGAGCTTGTGTGATTGCTGTCCTTGTACTGACTCTTCAGAGCAACGTCTGAAATTTCACTATAAGTATTTTGTAAAACCTACCAGTACAAGACAAGCCATCTCCAGTGTAACCAGGGTTACAAGTACAAACAAAACTTCCTGGTGTGTTTGTACATGCAGCGTTCTGACCACAGTTGTCAATATTCAAGACACATTCGTTAATATCTTAAGAAGAGAAAAGTATAGTTATAGGCTTGTTATCTCATACAAGCAAAATTGAACACCTGTAATGTAAAATATACATGTAGACAGATCTTCCATATTAAATGTTGGAAAAATTGTGATGATTATGTGCTGTGTATTACATACAATAGACTTTACTGCACTTTTGCTCCATAAGCTTCGTTTCCATGTTTGCCTGTTTTAACATGACAGGCGCACATGAAGGTTATATCCAAATATGTTTCTCACTGATCTTCAGTCCAAACTCAAACCTATAATACCCTTATATCCATATTGTCCACGGAACAAGACGAAATATCCACATGAAAACGAGGCCATTGGGGCAAGAATGCTATAAACATTACAGTCTATTGAGAACAACAGTATATTAATTCATTGGTCTGTGTGGAAAAAATAAAAGATCTAATGAATTTTAAACCACACATACTAAAAAGGAAAATTTTATTAGCTAACCGTTTGTTGTAATACGATCGACATGCATAGCCATTGACTGAGCTTTTAAATAAACTTTACATGGTGCGCATGATATAACGACATGTAAACTAGCCAAATGTTTACATATGTTTGAAAGTTATTCACTAGGCTCCTACACTCATTTTAAAGTACAATGCCTTCTTTTAATAAAAATGATAAGATAGAAAATAGTATAATGGCCTACCTGTGCAAATAAATCCGTTTCCAGTGTAGCCTGTGTTACATCGACACGTGTAAGATCCAATAGTGTTTGTACAGAGACCATTCACACTACAATTATGAGTCCCGAGTACACATTCATCAAGGTCTAGAAAATAATGAACGAATCATTACATGAAATGCACATAAGAACAAACTGAAAATGACGTTGGATAGAATAAAGCAGTGTGGGATGGACTGGGTAAGAAATGGTGTTGAATACAAAATTAAGTAGAGTTAAAATATATTTAAATTGATGAGTGGTTCTGCAGAATTTGAACCAAAGGTGTATATTCCACGCGGCGGACAACGCTTGACTCTCACGTATAAATAAATATAAAAGGATGAATATAGAAGACTGGAAATAATATTAAATTCAGATTTCAGATTGACTTTAGCATCTTACCGGTGCAAGTGACTCCATTTCCAGTGAAACCAGTACGACAGGTACAGATGTATGAACCGACTGTGTCCGTGCAATCTGCGTTGGCATCACAAGGGCCAGTGGAACATAACTCTTTAGAAACAAAGTATTCACAATTATTTATGGCATGAAGCAAGAAAGCTCAAGTTAGCGTGCAATTTAATTCTCTATGTTCAGTAATAACGTTCAGTATAATCATTATTCTTTGCATTAACGACTGGCACGAACTACTGATATTTTGCTAGAAATATGATGGGATGCCAGAAAAAAATTTAAAAAGATAAGTTTTCTTTTCTTATTAATGATACCTTGATACTAGCTGTTATTAAAAGCCTAAAATAGTTTATTTCTACTTACGCCACATTGTAGGAGAAGAGTGAATTAATGCCACAGCAATCCGATGAAGAGGCCAAGAAGTGTAATCATTATAAAGGCGGAATGAGCTAACATTTCCCCAGGTTATGCCGAATAGGAAGGATGTAAATTGAGATGACCAGCCATACATACACCGCAACTGTTCTGCCGTGAGACCAACACGATTCTCAATTGTTTGACCAACCGTTTCAGTGTTCTTAATACTGTCAAATGTTATTCCAAGTCGGGCCAGCAAAGCATTCAAATTTTCTGTTTCCAAAACGATCTTCCTATTCATGAGATCTACAGCGGAGCTTTGGTCCAACGTTTGGTAGCTAGGCATGGTTCTCTGGTATATTTCGGATACTGTGGTACCTAAACACGACGCTAAACGACTGGCAGAAATAACAAAGTTGCTGGATATGCTGCCAGATCGAATTTGAATTGAAGATGTACCATCTGCTAGAGTAATAACTGAAACACCACCAGTTCCTGCTGTTAGGTTAGTTGAAAAAGCGCTTGCTAGTTGATCAAATGAACTTTCAATAGCTGCTCGTACCATTCTATACCATTCAAACGATGGAAGATTAATAGCTACAAAATTGTCAACGCCTGCTACAGTGAGTTTGCTCAGAAACTCATTGATATTATATCTTAGATATAACGCTTCGAATACCAGGTTATGAGCTTCTTGGATCGTTAAACTGTCAATCTGAGCTACAGTTCGTCCAGTGAGGGCGCCAAGAGTAGATTTAGAGAAGCCATACGTTTTTAGAAGGAGGGAAAGATATTGCTGATAATTATCCCTCATAATCAAATTTAAATTGCCAGATCCATTCAAGGTTCTGATTGCGTATGCGATTTGCGGAACTGAGTAAGTGATGATTTGAGCATTGGTGAGACCTTGACGAGCTTGAACCTGAGTAATAAGTGGAGTTTCCATCCAAATACCTTCCGAAATGGCAAACAATAGTTGATAGAAATTAAACCAGCTGCTGATACTACTTGCATTTCTAATAATGGTCAAAATATTTCTGTTTGTGATTGTAGAAAGATTGAATCTGACCTCATCTTCACTCAAAGATCGAGACAAGACAAAAGCGACATTACAGGAGGGAAGAGTAGTCTGATAACCAAAAATATCCTGAGATAGATCAAAGGCAGAACCTGCAGTCGAAAGAGAGATGCACTGAGAGAAGTAACTGGACAATTGGATGTTTTCTATGGCGAAAAGCTGTGCTGAAGCCACTCTGTATAATATCTCAAGATGACGAACTGAAAACTGGCTGATCTGATTAGCATAGTACGCCATAGTTCGAGATTGCCATTGAGAACTGGCCTGTCCAGAAATAACAAGTGAGAACAGTTGAGTTTCGAAGCGGTTCTTACGTACAACCAAGTCATCAAATGCCGGGAAGAAGATGCTTTCAATTTGATTCAAATTATAGCCATATAATGTAGTAGTATTTGTGTTAAACAGTTCGGCAAGTTCGTCCACTGTTACACTCAGCATATCAGCACGACATTTTATGGCTGCGGCGACGATGTCAGGTACAAACAACGCCCATTCATCATTGATCACACGTAACGACGAAAGATTCAGTTTCTGTTCCAAGACTGTCATGTTGAAACAAAATTTCTTCTCCATTGTTGTAACCGCAAACTGGTGAATTTCTCCAATTTCTAATGCTGCAACGTTTGCCAAATTAATTGAAGTAAGAGTAGTAGCATTAACGATATCAGCATCCTTCACGGTATAACATTTATCTGGGCAATTATATAGCGGTGTTTGTTCAAGAATGGCTACTGAAAGTTGACCCCGCTGGAGAAGAACATCAGCGTCGAAAACCATGGTTTGGGCGGTAGACCCCACTATAACATCGAATGCACTGATGCCGGCTCCGACGGCCCTTGGTGTTTTCCAAACATTATAAGTAGTCACTCTATCGTAATAGGCCTGGTTTGATGCCATGAAAGCTTGCAAAAACGGTAAATTGAAGGTTGACAAAGGTTGCGTTAAAATGGGAACACGAAAATCCCCCCAGACACTTCCCAAAACATTCAACACCAGAAATGCAGAAAACAACATAATTTCTAAAAAAATATAACAAAAACATAATACAAAGGTGAGGCACAATAAGCCATCTGCATTCGTACACGCACTCCGATCCTGAAATTTTCAAAAAAATTTAAAAGAAATTTTAAAAGTTCTTTTTAACTTTCCTAGGGGACTACCAATATCTAGGACGTTTTAACGATTAGATATTTTTCGCGCTAAGCGTCTCCACTGTTTAAAAACTAGGACTGTATCTGCTGTGACCACCACAAATCTTAAGAGATTTTCTTATTGTTGCTGGGAAACAGTGGTGAGGATGTGAATGTACTTTTTACTTGGAACGAAGTTATTTTACGAAGTAATGGTTTTACTGCGTTATTTTCATTTCGTGGCGACGTATTTCGCCACTTTTCTTAAATTTTATCGATTTATTTATGAAAATATACCAAAGACTATACAGAGAAATGGTGAATTTCGAACCACCATTAGCCTGCGAGCAGGCTGTATGGGGAAAGAGAGCCTGCAAGGATCCCTATAACATTTACGTGCATGCGTCCAATATTTGGACGCAGAGCTCTGATTGGTTGATAACTGATTCATATGAAGTGATTGACAACCTTCCATAAACTTGCACTTCTCGTTTGTAAAACCGAGCAACGCAAAGCTTCGGAATTGCGGCAATGTAGAGATAAAAGTGTCATGCATTTTGATCCTGGTTGACTTTTTACTGTAAATTAATATAGTATTCATATAAAGACGAATACTAAAAGCTTGCATGCTTTATTGTGTCCTTGGCTTGTCTGACTCCTAGGCTAAAAATAATTCTTGAGAACGACTGCACAAATTCGCAAACCGAAACCTAGGGACAAAGCATTATATCGCTTCTCTTTTATGAAACAATATTGGGAATTATTCTGATAATATTCAGTGCATATTGTGTGTATTAAGGTTGTTTCACAATGTTATACTGACTATTTAATATTTATAAGTATGCGGCGTTAAAATATACAGTAATTTACTCGTCACTTTACAATAATTATCACATGCTGACATGCATGTTTACTGCAATGCCACTTTTTGTTGCAAAATTTGAACTATAAACATATTATTAAATTATGTCCAATGTCCATGGTATATCATATATGTCTATGTCTCACCAAAGCCATAAATTTCAGGAAGTTATATTATTACTATATATATACTGTATATATATTATATATTGCAGCACGAAGCAATTCCAAATAACTGAATTAGTTAGCGGGTAATATACAACTTTAAACTTACTGTGCCTACAGAAGAAACACATGCAGATTGTAATAAAAAGTACAACTTGATATATTACACTGTAAAACCTCGAGCCGTTTTAAATTTTTTAGTATGCCACAGTGGCGGTCTGTATACGAAACTATTAACGAATCGGTTTATGTTTACAATATCGTAGTGTATTCCGGTCTGCGCTGATTGGTGGTTATTAATTGACCTGTGACATCCTAATTGAAGGGCGGCACGCAATCATCATAGGGACCCTTGCAGGCTCTCTTTCCCCAGAGAGCCTGCTCGCAGGCTAAACCACCATTGGCATTGACAGTTTAAAGCCTTGCTTTTCTCTTTTGAAGTGTGGTATCGTAGACAGTTTCGGCTTTTTAAAATTTTGTTGTATATACTTCTCTTGTGGTTGTCTGAGAACTCTGGCCCCATGATACTCTGTGCATGTGTAGATCCGCTGATGGCCCGTGCTATGCCACATGCGCTTGTGGGAGTAAGTTGTATGTATATAAATACGAAATTGTCACTAAGCTGCGCTGATGAGGCGTAGGACGCCGAAACATGCATGCCTGCAGAGTTGTATTATTTGTATTTGTACTCGCATTGAAATGTGACTCTTGGAATGGCTTACTAGATTTGTAATAATAATAATAATAATATTAATATTTAATATTTATATTGCGCAAATTAACATGTTATAGTATATGATCAAATGCGCATCACAAAACATAATTACACTAAAATTATTCCATGCTTAATGCTTACTAACTAAAAAAATTAATATAAAGAAGATTATATAGATTATATGTTACATGAAGTATTTACATTAAAGGTTTCTTTAAAATAATTAGTCTTAACTAATTTCTTGAAAATACTAAAGTTATGCAGATTTCTAACATACATAGGTAATTCATTCCAGATTTTTGGAGCGGAGGTTACAAATGCTCTGTCACCGAGTGTTTTTTTAGCGCGAGTATTGATTTGTTATAGTGTTTGTGAAAATACGTAGAACGCTAACAGATAATTTGATACATTTATTTTACTTCACAATTGTGGAGTCGTCATTTAATGTCTAGTCATGAGTTGAGCACGATTACTCGCTAGAGCGCAAAGCTAAGTAAGACTGTCTTACTAAGAATATTTACAAGTTATTTTATACGCGTGTTAGAAGAGGCGAGGCGGAAAGCAATTAAGATTAGTGTCAAGATAATTAAGGCGCGTTAATACAATTAGGCTAGAAGTGATAACAAGATATAAATATGTACAAGTGTTGGCTGCCAAGAGGAAATTTTATGTTAATAGTTTTTGCGGCGTAAAGATTAAATCTAGGCGAGTCTACTTCCTAAAAGGTTTAAAATAATATGACTAAAAATAATGTTTGTAGAAGTTCCAAAAGTTATTAATGTCTTTGAGCCAAAACAGCATAATATCCGCTTAGTGATATCGGGTGACTATCACTACAGTAGCCCTAGCCCGCGTGCAGGCCCAAGGGAACTGATAGTGGGCCTGCAAGCAAGGCCCGGTATTTTGTAAAACGCCCCTTTTCATAACACGCCCCATTCGCGCGTCAATTGTCAAAAAAGAACCAATGAC